AGCGCATCCACGTGAATGTTTGGCTCTGTATCATTCGCCAGACTTGTGGAGTAGACCAGCAGAAAATACTTCTGGTAGTACGCGAACTGATCAAACTGGCAGTCCGCCACGAATTGCCGTCCACCTGACGGACCGAAAGCTTGATAGGGACATTCCACTGCCACTTCCTGTAGGTGGCGAACGGGTCAGACACGTCACGGACGTTGTCCACGGGAGCTGTCAGCGAATTTGGCGTCAACGTTGCATACTTCACCGCATGCACCTTGAATTTCGCCGAATTTAACCGCGCGCTTGCGCCCGGAAACAGATCGTTGTCGATATAATCGTCAATGGCGGTGAGCTGGGGGATCGCTCCATTCGGACCGATGGGCTTGATTACCCCTGTGTGATCCTTGCGTGGGGAAACGAGGAAGACGTTGAGAAACGTCCGCTGCGTCACGTTGCCTGCGCCCAGGCGACAATTGAGCTGCATCCGCATCGCATATGTCTTCGACGCGGTGTTCACCGAGTCGGCCTGACGCAGGACGGGCAACCAGTGGCCAACGTCTGTCAGGGGCCACGCATACCAGGTACCCGTGGCCAAAGGGCGGGAAATCCCAGCACTTGCACCTTCATACCACTGCCAATCAGTAAACATCTTCTGTCGAGCGATCGCACGCGTATTCCGCGAGACCCGACGCGACAAACGACGAATCGTTGCACGCCGCGAACCCCGCATAAACTTTACGCGCGGCTTAACGCTGCTGGCGCGGCGACGCCTGCCCTTGGCGGCATACGATTTGAGCGCACTCTGGCGAACGGGCATTTTACCTACACGCGACAAGAAACCTCGAGGCTCGAGATCCGAGGCTCGACGGGTGAGGGACCGAAATCACAATAAGCATAAACCATGCCGCGCAAAGGCGAGCCCAGCAAGTCGTGGGGGCCGTGCACCCTGTTCGAGTTCACTGACGACGACGTCAAATGGCTCGACAGTTCGGAGGTCAACACACTCCTCTGCACAGAGGAAATATGCCCCACGACGGAGCGCAAACACCTCCAATTCCACATCACCTTCAAGCGGGCCTACAGGCTCCCGGCGCTGAAGAAGATGCACCCCAGAGTCCATTGGGAGGCGCAATACTGCACGCAGGACGACAACTACTCGCGGAAGCGAGACAGCAAAGTCCTAATCGACAAGGACAACCGCAAACGGCCGGGGGAACGGACGGACCTGCAAGCAATCAAGCGGGTCCTCACCGAGACGAATTCGGCACGATCCGTCATGCCAATGGCCTCCAGCAGCCAGCAAATCCAATTCGCCAAGCAGTGGCTCGAATACATGGAACAACCGCGACCAGTCGGGGACATTGAGGTCCACTGGCGCTGGGGCAAGACGGGAGTCGGGAAGACCCGCTACGTCTGGGACATGCACGGAGTCGACGAAATCTACCAGCCCACCAGCTACAAGTGGTGGCAGGGGTACGACGGTCACAAAATCGTGCTGATCGACGAGCTCCGCGCCAACTGGTGGACCTTCGGGCAGCTACTGCGCTTACTGGACCGCTACCCTTTTACGGTCGAGACCAAGGGGGGGTCTAGGCAGATCCAGGCTACCGTCTGGTACATCACGAGCTCTAAGCACCCTGCGGAGCTATTCGATCCCCGCCATTTTGACGCCGCTGAGCGGGTAGACCAACTACTCCGACGGCTAACTACCATCACGGAAGTACTCGAGCCGGAAACGGCGGAGCAGGCTGATGCAATAGATTGGCAGCACGACGAAGCGCGTGAATATGCTGGCGGGCGCGTAAGCTGCCCTGAGTGGTAACGGAGCCCTAAGGGGCGTAACCGTAACCGAGGTCGTGTAAAAGTAATACTGGTTTACACGACCTCGGCCCGACGGAAACCCCACCGAACCCGCGGCAAGACAGCGCCGCGGGGGGTGACCCCCCCCCGGGGGGGGTCACGGAGCCGGCCTTCGGCCGGCATTGTCCAGGGGGGGGGGTTCAGCGCGCCTTCGGCGCAGGGCTCGGGCGCCCGGGGGGGGGCACTAACCAAAATTAATGCACGTAGTGAGCGCATCCACGTGAATGTTTGGCTCTGTATCATTCGCCAGACTTGTGGAGTAGACCAGCAGAAAATACTTCTGGTAGTACGCGAACTGATCAAACTGCGCAGTCCGCCACGAATTGCCGTCCACCTGACGGACCGAAAGCTTGATAGGGACATTCCACTGCCACTTCCTGTAGGTGGCGAACGGGTCAGACACGTCACGGACGTTGTCCACGGGAGCTGTCAGCGAATTTGGCGTCAACGTTGCATACTTCACCGCATGCACCTTGAATTTCGCCGAATTTAACCGCGCGCTTGCGCCCGGAAACAGATCGTTGTCGATATAATCGTCAATGGCGGTGAGCTGGGGGATCGCTCCCTTCGGACCGATGGGCTTGATTACCCCTGTGTGATCCTTGCGTGGGGAAACGAGGAAGACGTTGAGAAACGTCCGCTGTGTCACGTTGCCTGCGTCCAGGCGACAATTGAGCTGCATCCGCATCGCATATGTCTTCGACGCGGTGTTCACAAAGTCGGCCTGACGCAGGACGGGCAACCAGTGGCCAACGTCTGTCAGGGGCCACGCATACCAGGTACCCGTGGCCAAAGGGCGGGAAATCCCAGTACTTGCACCTTCATACCACTGCCAATCAGTAAACATCTTCTGCCGAACGATCGCACGCGTATTCCGCGAGACCTGACGCGACAAACGACGAATCGTTGCACTCCGCGAACCCCGCGTAAACTTTACGCGCCGCTTAACGCTGCTGGCGCGGCGACGCCTGCCCTTGGCGGCACACGATTTGAGCGCACTCTGGCGAACGGGCATTTTACCTACACGCGACAAAAAAAAACGAGGCTCGAGATCCGAGGCTCGACGGGCGAGGGACCGAAATCACAATAAGCATAAACCATGCCGCGCAAAGGCGAGCCCAGCAAGTCGTGGGGGCCGTGCACCCTGGTCGAGTTCACTGACGACGACGTCAAATGGCTCGACAGTTTGGAGGTCAACACACTCCTCTGCACAGAGGAAATATGCCCCACGACGGAGCGCAAACACCTCCAATTCCACATCACCTTCAAGCGGGCCTACAGGCTCCCGGCGTTGAAGAAGATGCACCCCAGAGTCCATTGGGAGGCGCAATACTGCACGCAGGACGACAACTACTCGCGGAAGCGAGACAGCAAAGTCCTAATCGACAAGGACAACCGCAAACGGCCGGGGGAACGGACGGACCTGCAAGCAATCAAGCGGGTCCTCACCGAGACGAATTCGGTACGATCCGTCATGCCAATGGCCTCCAGCAGCCAGCAAATCCAATTCGCCAAGCAGTGGCTCGAATACATGGAACAACCGCGACCAGTCGGGGACATTGAGGTCCACTGGCGCTGGGGCAAGACGGGAGTCGGGAAGACCCGCTACGTCTGGGACATGCACGGAGTCGACGAAATCTACCAGCCCACCAGCTACAAGTGGTGGCAGGGGCACGACGGTCACAAAATCGCGCTGATCGACGAGCTCCGCGCCAACTGGTGGACCTTCGGGCAGCTACTGCGCTTACTGGACCGCTTACGGTCGAGACCAAGGGGGGGTCTAGGCAGATCCAGGCTACCGTCTGGTACATCACGAGCTCTAAGCACCCTGCGGAGCTATTCGATCCCCGCCATTTTGACGCCGCTGAGCGGGTAGACCAACTACTCCGACGGCTAACTACCATCACGGAAGTACTCGAGCCGGAAACGGCGGAGCAGGCTGATGCAATAGATTGGCAGCACGACGAAGCGCGTGAATATGCTGGCGGGCGCGTAAGCTGCCCTGAGTAGTAACGGAGCCCTAAGGGGCGTAACCGTAAACGAGGTCGTGTAAAAGTAATACTGGTTTACACGACCTCGGCCCGACGGAAACCCCACCGAACCCGCGGCAAGACAGCGCCGCGGGGGGTGGCCCCCCCCGGGGGGGGTCACGGAGCCGGCCTTCGGCCGGCATTGTCCAGGGGGGGGGGGGTTCAGCGCGCCTTCGGCGCAGGGCTCGGGCGCCCAGGGGGGGGGCACTAACCGAAATTAATGCACGTAGTGAGCGCATCCACGTGAATGTTTGGCTCTGTATCATTCGCCAGACTTGTGGAGTACACCAGCAGAAAATACTTCTGGTAGTACGCGAACTGATCAAACGGCGCAGTCCGCCACGAATTGCCGTCCACCTGACGGACCGAAAGCTTGATAGGGACATTCCACTGCCACTTCCTGTAGGTGGCGAACGGGTCAGACACGTCACGGACGTTGTCCACGGGAGCTGTCAGCGAATTTGGCGTCAACGTTGCATAGTTCACCGCATGCACCTTGAATTTCGCCGAATTTAAGCGCGCGCTTGCGCCCGGAAACAGATCGTTGCCGATATAATCGTCAATGGCGGTGAGCTGGGGGATCGCTCCATTCGGACCGATGGGCTTGATTACCCCTGTGTGATCCTTGCGTGGGGAAACGAGGAAGACGTTGAGAGACGTCCGCTGTGTCACGTTGCCTGCGTCCAGGCGACAATTGAGCTGCATCCGCATCGCATATGTCTTCGACGCGGTGTTCACCGAGTCGGCCTGACGCAGGACGGGCAACCAGTGGCCAACGTCTGTCAGGGGCCACGCATACCAGGTACCCGTGGCCAAAGGGCGGGAAAACCCAGTACTTGCACCTTCATACCACTGCCAATCAGTAAACATCTTCTGCCGAGCGATCGCACGCGTATTCCGCGAGACCTGACGCGACAAACGACGAATCGTTGCACTCCGCGAACCCCGCGTAAACTTTACGCGCCGCTTAACGCTGCTGGCGCGGCGACGCCTGCCCCTGGCGGCATACGATTTGAGCGCGCTCTGGCGAACGGGCATTTTACCTACACGCGACAAAAAATCTCGAGGCTCGAGATCCGAGGCTCGACGGGTGAGGGACCGAAATCACAATAAGCATAAACCATGCCGCGCAAAGGCGAGCCCAGCAAGTCGTGGGGGCCGCGCACCCTGTTCGAGTTCACGGACGACGACGTCAAATGGCTCGACAGTTTGGAGGTCAACAAACTCCTCTGCACAGAGGAAATATGCCCCACGACGGAGCGCAAACACCTCCAATTCCACATCACCTTCAAGCGGGCCTGCAGGCTCCCGGCGTTGAAGAAGATGCACCCCAGAGTCCATTGGGAGGCGCAATACTGCACGCAGGACGACAACTACTCGCGGAAGCGAGACAGCAAAATCCTAATCGACAAGGACAACCGCAAACGGCCGGGGGAACGGACGGACCTGCAAGCAATCAAGCGGGTCCTCACCGAGACGAATTCGGCACGATCCGCCATGCCAATGGCCTCCAGCAGCCAGCAAATCCAATTCGCCAAGCAGTGGCTCGAATACATGGAACAACCGCGACCAGTCGGGGACATCGAGGTCCACTGGCGCTGGGGCAAGACGGGAGTCGGGAAGACCCGCTACGTCTGGGACATGCACGGAGTCGACGAAATCTACCAGCCCACCAGCTACAAGTGGTGGCAGGGGTACGACGGTCACAAAATCGTGCTGATCGACGAGCTCCGCGCCAACTGGTGGACCTTCGGGCAGCTACTGCGCTTACTGGACCGCTACCCTTTTACGGTCGAGACCAAGGGGGGGTCTAGGCAGATCCAGGCTACCGTCTGGTACATCACGAGCTCTAAGCACCCTGCGGAGCTATTCGATCCCCGCCATTTTGACGCCGCTGAGCGGGTAGACCAACTACTCCGACGGCTGACTACCATCACGGAAGTACTCGAGCCGGAAACGGCGGAGCAGGCTGATGCAATAGATTGGCAGCACGACGAAGCGCGTGAATATGCTGGCGGGCGCGTAAGCTGCCCTGAGTGGTAACGGAGCCCTAAGGGGCGTAACCGTAACCGAGGTCGTGTAAAAGTAATACTGGTTTACACGACCTCGGCCCGACGGAAACCCCACCGAACCCGCGGCAAGACAGCGCCGCGGGGGGGGGCCCCCCCCGGGGGGGGTCACAGAGCCGGCCTTCGGCCGGCATTGTCCAGGGGTGGGGGGGGTTCAGCGCGCCTTCGGCGCAGGGCTCGGGCGCCCGGGGGGGGGCATTAACCGAAATTAATGCACGTAGCGAGCGCATCCACGTGAATGTTTGGCTCTGTATCATTCGCCAGACTTGTGGAATACACCAGCAGAAAATACGTCTGGTAGTACGCGAACTGATCAAACTGCGCAGTCCGCCACGAATTGCCGTCCACCTGACGGACCGAAAGCTTGATAGGGACATTCCACTGCCACTTCCTGTAGGTGGCGAACGGGTCAGACACGTCACGGACGTTGTCCACGGGAGCCGTCAGCGAATTAGGCGTCAACGTTGCATACTTCACCGCATGCACCTTGAATTTCGCCGAATTTAAACGCACGCTTGCGCCTGGAAACAGATCGTTGTCGATATCATCGTCAATGGCGGTGAGCTGGGGGATCGCTCCATTCGGACCGATGGGCTTGATTACCCCTGTGTGATCCTCGCTTGGGGAAACGAGGAAGACGTTGAGAAACGTCCGCTGTGTCACGTTGCCTGCGTCCAGGCGACAATTGAGCTGCATCCGCATCGCATATGTCTTCGACGCGGTGTTCACCGAGTCGGCCTGACGCAGGACGGGCAACCAGTGGCCAACGTCTGTCAGGGGCCACGCATACCAGGTACCCGTGGCCAAAGGGCGGGAAATCCCAGTACTTGCACCTTCATACCACTGCCAATCAGTAAACATCTTCTGCCGAGCGATCGCACGCGTATTCCGCGAGACCTGACGCGACAAACGACGAGTCGCTGCACTCCGCGAACCCCGCGTAAACTTTACGCGCCGCTCAACGCTGCTGGCGCGGCGACGCCTGCCCTTGGCGGCATGCGATTTGAGCGCACTCTGGCGAACGGGCATTTTACCTACACGCGACAAAAAAATCTCGAGGCTCGAGATCCGAGGCTCGACGGGTGAGGGACCGAAATCACAATAAGCATAAACCATGCCGCGCCAAGGCGAGCCCAGCAAGTCGTGGGGGCGTGCGCCCTGTTCGAGTTCACTGACGACGACGTCAAATGGCTCGACAGTTTGGAGGTCAACAAACTCCTCTGCACAGTGGAAATATGCCCCACGACGGAGCGCAAACACCTCCAATTCCACATCACCTTCAAGCGGGCCTACAGGCTCCCGGCGCTGAAGAAGATGCACCCCAGAGTCCATTGGGAGGCGCAATACTGCACGCAGGACGACAACTACTCGCGGAAGCGAGACAGCAAAGTCCTAATCGACAAGGACAACCGCAAACGGCCGGGGGAACGGACGGACCTGCAAGCAATCAAGCGGGTCCTCACCGAGACGAATTCGGTACGATCCGTCATGCCAATGGCCTCCAGCAGCCAGCAAATCCAATTCGCCGAGCAGTGGCTCGAATACATGGAACAACCGCGACCAGTCGGGGACATTGAGGTCCACTGGCGCTGGGGCAAGACGGGAGTCGGGAAGACCCGCTACGTCTGGGACATGCACGGAGTCGACGAAATCTACCAGCCCACCAGCTACAAGTGGTGGCAGGGGTACGACGGTCACAAAATCGCGCTGATCGACGAGCTCCGCGCCAACTGGTGTACCTTCGGGCAGCTACTGCGCTTACTGGACCGCTACCCTTTCACGGTCGAGACCAAGGGGGGGTCTAGGCAGATCCAGGCTACCGCCTGGTACATCACGAGCTCTAAGCACCCTGCGGAGCTATTCGATCCCCGCCATTTTGACGCCGCTGAGCGGGTAGACCAACTACTCCGACGGCTGACTACCATCACGGAAGTACTCGAGCCGGAAACGGCGGAGCAGGCTGATGCAATAGATTGGCAGCACGACGAAGCGCGTGAATATGCTGGCGGGCGCGTAAGCTGCCCTGAGTGGTAACGGAGCCCTAAGGGGCGTAACCGTAACCGAGGTCGTGTAAAAGTAATACTGGTTTACACGACCTCGGCCCGACGGAAACCCCACCGAACCCGCGGCAAGACAGCGCCGCGGGGGGTGACCCCCCCCGGGGGGGGTCACAGAGCCGGCCTTCGGCCGGCATTGTCCAGGGGGGGGGGGGGGGTCAGCGCGCCTTCGGCGCAAGGCTCGGGCGCCCGGGGGGGGGGCACTAACCGAAATTAATGCACGTAGTGAGCGCATCCACGTGAATGTTTGGCTCTGTATCATTCGCCAGACTTGTGGAGTACACCAGCAGAAAATACTTCTGGTAGTACGCGAACTGATCAAACTGCGCAGTCCGCCACGAATTGCCGTCCACCTGACGGACCGAAAGCTTGATAGGGACATTCCACTGCCACTTCCTGTAGGTGGCGAACGGGTAAGACACGTCACGGAGGTTGGCCACGGGAGCCGTCAGCGAATTAGGCGTCAACGTTGCATACTTCACCGCATGCACCTTGAATTTCGCCGAATTTAACCGCACGCTTGCGCCCGGAAACAGATCGTTGTCGATATCATCGTCAATGGCGGTGAGCTGGGGGATCGCTCCATTCGGACCGATGGGCTTGATTACCCCTGTGTGATCCTTGCGTGGGGAAACGAGGAAGGCGTTGAGAAACGTCCGCTGTGTCACGTTGCCTGCGTCCAGGCGACAATTGAGCTGCATCCGCATCGCATATGTCTTCGACGCGGTGTTCACCGAGTCGGCCTGACGCAGGACGGGCAACCAGTGGCCAACGTCTGTCAGGGGCCACGCATACCAGGTACCCGTGGCCAAAGGGCGGGAAATCCCAGTACTTGCACCTTCATACCACTGCCAATCAATACACATCTTCTGCCGAGCGATCGCACGCGTATTCCGCGAGACCCGACGCGACAAACGGCGAATCGTTGCACTCCGCGAACCCCGCGTAAACTTTACGCGCCGCTTAACGCTGCTGGCGCGGCGACGCCTGCCCTTGGCGGCATACGATTTGAGCGCACTCTGGCGAACGGGCATTTTACCTACACGCGACAAAAATCTCGAGGCTCGAGATCCGAGGCTCGACGGGTGAGGGACCGAAATCACAGTAAGCATAAACCATGCCGCGCCAAGGCGAGCCCAGCAAGTCGTGGGGGCCGTGCACCCTGTTCGAGTTCACTGACGACGACGTCAAATGGCTCGACAGTTTGGAGGTCAACCAACTCCTCTGCACAGAGGAAATATGCCCCACGACGGAGCGCAAACACCTCCAATTCCACATCACCTTCAAGCGGGCCTACAGGCTCCCGGCGTTGAAGAAGATGCTTCCCAGAGTCCATTGGGAGGCGCAATACTGCACGCAGGACGACAACTACTCGCGGAAGCGAGACAGCAAAGTCCTAATCGGCAAGGACAACCGCAAACGGCCGGGGGAACGGACGGACCTGCAAGCAATCAAGCGGGTCCTCACCGAGACGAATTCGGTACGATCCCTCATGCCAATGGCCTCCAGCAGCCAGCAAATCCAATTCGCCAAGCAGTGGCTCGAACACATGGAACAACCGCGACCAGTCGGGGACATTGAGGTCCACTGGCGCTGGGGCAAGACGGGAGTCGGGAAGACCCGCTACGTCTGGGACATGCACGGAGTCGACGAAATCTACCAGCCCACCAGCTACAAGTGGTGGCAGGGGTACGACGGTCACAAAATCGTGCTGATCGACGAGCTCCGCGCCAACTGGTGCACCTTCGGGCAGCTACTGCGCTTACTGGACCGCTACCCTTTTACGGTCGAGACCAAGGGGGGGTCTAGGCAGATCCAGGCTACCGTCTGGTACATCACGAGCTCTAAGCACCCTGCGGAGCTCTTCGATCCCCGCCATTTTGACGCCGCTGAGCGGGTAGACCAACTACTCCGACGGCTGACTACCATCACGGAAGTACTCGAGCCGGAAACGGCGGAGCAGGCTGATGCAATGGATTGGCAGCACGACGAAGCGCGTGAATATGCTGGCGGGCGCGTAAGCTGCCCTGAGTGGTAACGGAGCCCTAAGGGGCGCAACCGTAACCGAGGTCGTGTAAAAGTAATACTGGTTTACACGACCTCGGCCCGACGGAAACCCCACCGAACCCGCGGCAAGACAGCGCCGCGGGGGGTGACCCCCCCCGGGGGGGTCACGGAACCGGCCTTCGGCCGGCATTGTCCAGGGGGGGGGGGGGGTTCAGCGCGCCTTCGGCGCGGGGCTCGGGCGCCCGGGGGGGGGGCACTAACCGAAATTAATGCACGTAGTGAGCGCATCCACGTGAATGTTTGGCTCTGTATCATTCGCCAGACTTGTGGAATACACCAGCAGAAAATACTTCTGGTAGTACGCGAACTGATCAAACTGCGCAGTCCGCCACGAATTGCCGTCCACCTGACGGACCGAAAGCTTGATAGGGACATTCCACTGCCACTTCCTGTAGGTGGCGAACGGGTCAGACACGTCACGGAACGGGTCAGACACGTCACGGACGTTGTCCACGGGAGCTGTCAGCGAATTAGGCGTCAACGTTTCATACTTCACCGCATGCACCTTGAATTTCGCCGAATTTAAGCGCACGCTTGCGCCCGGAAACAGATCGTTGTCGATATAATCGCTAATGGCGGTGAGCTGGGGGATCGCTCCATTCGGACCGATGGGCTTGATTACCCCTGTGTGATCCTTGCGTGGGGAAACGAGGAAGACGTTGAGAAACGTCCGCTGTGTCACGTTGCCTGCGTCCAGGCGACAATTGAGCTGCATCCGCATCGCATATGTCTTCGACGCGGTGTTCACCGAGTCGGCCTGACGCAGGACGGGCAACCAGTGGCCAACGTCTGTCAGGGGCCACGCATACCAGGTACCCGTGGCCAAAGGGCGGGAAATCCCAGTACTTGCACCTTCATACCACTGCCAATCAGTAAACATCTTCTGCCGAGCGATCGCACGCGTATTCCGCGAGACCTGACGCGACAAACGACGAACCGCTGCACTCCGCGAACCCCGCGTAAACTTTACGCGCCGCTTAACGCTGCTGGCGCGGCGACGCCTGCCCTTGGCGGCATACGATTTGAGCGCACTCTGGCGAACGGGCATTTTACCTACACGCGACAAAAAAATCTCGAGGCTCGAGATCCGAGGCTCGACGGGTGAGGGGCCGAAATCACAATAAGCATAAACCATGCCGCGCCAAGGCGAGCCGAGCAAGTCGTGGGGGCCGTGCACCCTGTTCGAGTTCACTGACGACGACGTCAAATGGCTCGACAGTTTGGAGGTCAACCAACTCCTCTGCACAGAGGAAATATGCCCCACGACGGAGCGCAAACACCTCCAATTCCACATCACCTTCAAGCGGGCCTACAGGCCCCCGGCGTTGAAGAAGATGCACCCCAGAGTCCATTGGGAGGCGCAATACTGCACGCAGGACGACAACTACTCGCGGAAGCGAGACAGCAAAGTCCTAATCGACAAGGACAACCGCAAACGGCCGGGGGAACGGACGGACCTGCAAGCAATCAAGCGGGTCCTCACCGAGACGAATTCGGTACGATCCGTTATGCCAATGGCCTCCAGCAGCCAGCAAATCCAATTCGCCAAGCAGTGGCTCGAACACGTGGAACAACCGCGACCAGTCGGGGACATTGAGGTCCACTGGCGCTGGGGCAAGACGGGAGTCGGGAAGACCCGCTACGTCTGGGACATGCACGGAGTCGACGAAATCTACCAGCCCACCAGCTACAAGTCGCGGCAGGGGTACGACGGTCACAAAATCGTGCTGATCGACGAGCTCCGCGCCAACTGGTGTACCTTCGGGCAGCTACTGCGCTTACTGGACCGCTACCCTTTTACGGTCGAGACCAAGGGGGGTCTAGGCAGATCCAGGCTACCGTCTGGTACATCACGAGCTCTAAGCACCCTGCGGAGCTATTCGATCCCCGCCATTTTGACGCCGCTGAGCGGGTAGACCAACTACTCCGACGGCTGACTACCATCACGGAAGTACTCGAGCCGGAAAAACCGGAGCAGGCTGATGCAATAGATTGGCAGCACGACGAAGCGCGTGAATATGCTGGCGGACGCGCAAGCTGTCCTGAGTGGTAACGGAGCCCTAAGGGGCGTGGACACCGAGTAATCTGAATAACACACACACACACCTGCGACGGGTCGCGAGACTGCATTTCCAAACCAATAACCTTCCAGACATTAGCATTGGCCCCCCTGGGGGCCCTCCAGAGTCCTTGACGCCACCCATCAGATACCCCACTGTTGTCGGTGACGCACACTAGGGGCCCCCGTGAGTGCCGGAGCACCAGTAGGAGCCCCCGTAATTCGCCTCGTGAAATAGACTGCGCAGCTCCAGGAAGGGGTCTGAAGATAGCTGCTCCAACCTGAGGTCGAGCGAAATCCCGAACTACAACTGCTGGGACTCCGACGCGCCTGAGTCGCCGGTCTCTTGAATCCTCGCCCCCGCTGGCGCCCCCGAAGACTAGCAGAGGCTCGCCGAAGGCGCCGCGGCCGAGCGCGCGCTCGTCGAAAGACGCACCTACCGAAGAGAAATACTCCCACGCCTCGTCGGCGCTGGGAGCTGGCACGAGACCTCGAAACCAAAAACAGGGTCCAGAGTCTTGGCCCGACTGGGCCCTGGGGAGAAGGTGGTCCGACTCAGTATAGATTTTGCGCCCAGGCCACACCTTGCACACGCATCGTCGCTGATTGCACCCGTCTCGCCCTTCACCCTGGATCAAGGCCAAGATCCACCGATAGCAATAACCAGAAGAGTTTCCGAGAGCTTGGTCCCGCGAGGTAAACCGTTGAGCACCTTGGGAAGCTGCCTAAGAGACTGGTCATCAGCTCCGCCCTGCAGCCCTTCCCCACAGAAGTGCTTGGAGGCTTGCGCCCAGAGAGTAAGCCGAATGGACCCCTCTAACTCCGTAAGCAACTCGCCGATGTCCCCAGAGCTGGAAACGAGATCATCGGGGAACGACCGCGTACCACCAGCATCGTCACCCTTAGCAGGAGTGCGCCACATCGTCGGAGACTCTGGGCCCCATCCGAATACGCGATGATGGACGAGATGGGCCCTCGCACATGATGCGAAACATGCCGCGCCGCCAATTCGCGAAGCTGGCGGCCAAGCCCTGGCCAAACGGCGCGGACAGGAGCGCGGGCACTGGGCTCGCTCAGCCAGGTCCCCAACCATAGCTGGAGCCCGTCGCGCGGAAGCTCATACTCGGGATCGCGCCCATCGGCGCGAGGATCAAGAAGAGTTGCGAGGCATCGCCCACGCTTTGATGAGGCAAGAGTGCACCCTAGACGCCGACGACATTGAATCCGAAAACCCCCAACAGCCCCAGTAATCTGATGCCCATAAGTTCCCGCTGCCTGTGCCCTCGCCCGTTCCAGAAGACCCGCGGTCCGATACTTCCGACTCGAGCGAGCGAACTTGCGAATATTGTGGTTCATGGCCTTGGCCTTGACGACTCTCTGCCTCCGAGTAGCCCTGGCGAGCCTGCCAGCTCCCAGGTCGACCCCCAAATACGCGGCCTGCAGCGCGCGCTGAAGGATAAAACCTCGGCGTCGAAGACGTTGCACCACAGCCTTGCTGCCTGCGGCGCGCGAACAGAATGACACTCTTGATGGCGATATGGAGCCAGTGCTCCTGCGGCGTGGCGCACGCGCCCAAGACGTCTTGGAACAATAATGCACGAACTACGTTGCGCGAACCAGCCGTGCGCCGTGTCAAGTCATCGACCCAGATGCGAAAAGACGCGTGCACGTTCGCGGTAGTAAGCTCCATGAGTACGTAGTAAACCATGCATCTCCCGAAACGCGCGCCGCTCCTGAGCCGTTGGACAATAGTTTGCCACGGCTGGAACGCCCGAGAATAGGGCCGCAGCTGCGAAAGCACACGCGGGGCCATGCACATGCGGAGCTCGAGGGCGAGGACCGTGGGAATGAACCCCATTCGGAGAGCCGATCTAGCTAAAGGAATTCACCCCATGGCGTCGTGGAAGCCCTTGATGTCTAAAAGGGCCTCCCCGAACGCAACTCCCAATCTAGCTAGCCCTTCGTCTTGAAGAGCATTAAAAACACTTCGCGCAACGCCGACTTGCCTGCGACCGCCGCGCCCCAGGCCGGCCCCGAGTCCTCGAACCACGCCCTCACTTCGCCCTCGCGGGCAAATGACCAAGTCCTGGAAAACATACACATAAGACCTATGATTCGAACCCACACACACAACCACCACTACCACCACCACCACCACCACCACCACCCACCACCACCACCACCCACCCACCACCCACCCACCCACCCACCCCCACCCCACCCCCCCACCCACCCCACCCCCCCCCACCCACCCACCCACCCCACCCCACCCCCCCCCCCCCACCCCCCCCCCCCCCCCCCCCCCCCCCCCCCCCCCCCCCCCCCCCCCCCCCCCCCCCCCCCCCCCCCCACACACCCCCCCCCCCCCCCCCCCCTCCCCCCCCCCCCCCCCCCCCACCACCACCACACCACCACCACCACCCACCCACCCACCCACCCACCCACCCACCCACCCACCCACCCACCCACCCACCACCCACCCACCCACCCACCCACCCACCCACCCACCCACCACCCACCCACCCACCCCCACCCACCCACCCACCCACCCACCACCCACCCACCCACCCACCCACCCACCCACACACACACACACACCACACACACACACACACACACACACACACACACACACACACACACACACACACACACCACACCCCCCACCCCACCCCTCGCTTTTCCTCCCCAGGGGACGCCCGACAACCAACGAAACCTGCCACGGCCATGAGAGGCACTCCTCGCAAGCGCCAAACACCGAAACTAACTCCTGAAGCCCCTGGAGGGGGAGACGGCCCATATCTAACGGGCTGAGGTCGTCTGTCTACCCCGAGTCCTGCGTTGGCCCTCATGCCGCGCAGGGCGCGCTGGACGCGCTCGACGGACAGGGGCTCGAGCTGCTCCACAGCTGCCGCCTCGCGAATATCCAAGAACATGTCTGCGACGTCGGAGATCGGTAAGGGTTTAGGGGCCCAGAGATCACGTCACCGTTTGGTTTGTTTTACGGCCGACAATGCCCACGGGGTGAAAGGAAGCTTTGTCGTCAACCGAAAGCTCGTCGGAAACAGGGGGAACCTTCTTGAGGGATTTATGCTATATTCCAGGGGCCTCCGAAGTAGTGATCTAGTCACGCAATTGCCGAAGAGAAGAATAGAGAGCTCGTCGTTGAGCTCGCCCTGAAACTCGCTTGGCTGCCTGAGCTAGTCGCTCTATGGAGCCATCAGTGAGGGAAGCTATACGCTGCAACTTGGCCTGCCAAATGCTCGCAGCTGCGGCCCCAGATTGGATGCCCGCGTCTGCTGACTGAAAGAGAGGAACATGCGCGCCTGGAGGCTGATCACCCGCGAGTGCTGCACAAGCTTGAACGAACTGCGCCTGATGCGCAGCCTCGCTGCCTCGACTGCGGCGCTTGCTAGAGGAGGATAGAACAGTAGAGAGGCGCCCCTACCAGCTCGCCACTACGTCGCGTAGAGGTTGATCCCGAGCCGCGTCAGGAGCTTCCATTTCAACCACCCGAAAGAAAGGCACCTGAGCTCTCGTGGCGCCCCCAAAACTCGATGCGCCACGATGCGCGGTGATCGCCCGCTCAACCGTAGAAACCCAAGACGCGCAGAGGGCCCCGAGACGACTGACGCGCTGGCCCCCGACGGCGCACGCCACATAAGCACGAAAAACTGGCCATACCTCGCGCCCGTTATCCGAGTGCGCGTGCCCGACCTGGCCCCGCGCGTGTCCCAGAGCTCAAAGGGGATGGAGAAAGAGGGGAGATCTGATGAATGACCTGTTGCCGAGGGGGGGGGGGGGGGGGGTCGGGGGCAAGGTCCCCCACTGTCCGTAGGACCTGCTTTTCGGTCAGAATCGATTCAGACAGAGGCTCGCGAACTATGGGCACCTTGGCCCTCGCACTGCTGGTGGCGGAGACATCGGCGCCAGCCCGCGTCGTCGGAAGAAAAAAAAAAAAAAAAAAAAAAAAAAAAAAAAAATGTTAAATCAAAATCGCAATCAGACTCTCCGTCCGAAAGACCGCCGCCCAGCTCGAAAGTGGCCCGCTCTGGGTCGGCAGTGAGGCCCCCAGACAGGGCCTCGGACGCTTCTGCAAATCTCAACTTCTGCGACTTTTCGGCTGCGGCACGTTGAAGCATAGCAGCGCTGGACTTGGACCCAGGCGTCGGGGCGACACCCGGGCGCGGGAGCTGCGGCAGTCGCGCTGGCGTGACCAGCCCCCTGCACAAAAGCTGAGCACCTGAACTACGAAGCCTGATCATAACTGCACTATGAGGCTTCCATGGCACTGGCAAAATGAGAGAGACGCCGGCAAAATACGGCACACACGAATGACTAGCAATGACATAGTCGAGCACGGCACCTTCCCCCGACTCACACGTCGTCAGCGCCCCCACCGGTCTGAAGATAACCCCGTCAACCTTCTCGATGAACACGCGCTGCACCAGCACCTCGGGGTCGAGGTTGCAATCTCCAACAATGAACCATGGAAGACGAAGCTGTGATATCAGTGCTCCGGGCTTGGCGAAACGCGCGAGGTTCCTGCCCCCGTACCCGTCGGAGCAGAAACCGCAAAAGTGATGGCCACCAGCGAGTATCCGTGCACGTGGACGACCGCTGCGCTGAACTCATCCAGCGCCACGGACCCTCCAGCTCTCAAATCACGAAGCACCGCATCAGTGTCGCCCGGACTCTGCATATGAAGATGGTGTCGGCACATGAGCCACTCATCGTCCTCGTTGGCCTTGTCCTGAGTTGCGGCCGACTTTTCACGTCCTGTCACACGGGCAGGATCCACGATAAGCTTAAAATGTATATTACTAGTTTGCTCTCGCCAATACTGCACATCCCTACTGCTCTCGACGTGCGTTTCGGCGATGCCGGAAAAAATGGAAGGGCTTGCACGTGGGTCCAGAGATGAAGTCCCATGCCTGCTTGCCCAAGGTGGTAACATTGGCGAAGAAGAAAAAACAATCGGCTCTACTCTTGGACAGAGTGGGAAGCTCACCATTAGCTGTCAACTGCTCACACCTGCCAGCTGAACCCCGAGGACCATAAGGGGGCTCTCCTGCCATGGACGATCCTGCAGGGCCCCCTGCTCCTCGTCACTTGGGCACGGGGGTGGCCGCGGCCAAGGCCGCTGCATCTGCCACCGCCTGCTTTGCTGCCGAGATCGTCTTCGCCGCTACCTTGATGCGAGCCTCCTGCTGCGCCTTGGCCTCGGCCTCAGCGTTGGCGCTGGGCCCTCCACTGGGCCCGCTGCTGCCGCCGCTGCCGTTGGCTGGTGCGCCACTGTCGGAGGTGTCCATACCCTTGGGGGCCTGGTCGCCGCCCGCGCCGCCACTGACTGCTTCTCCGTCGGTGCAGCGGCGCTTTTTGGCGTGTCTGGCCTCGGTCTGCTTCTGCCACTCCTTGGCCCTCCCGAGCCAACCTACAACCCCTGAGTTCTTGGACGTGAGCTGCGTCTTGAGGGCTCTCAGGTCGACTTCTAGCTTCCTGAGCGCCTCCTTCTCTGCTGGTTCGGCGTCCATGTCGTCAATGCTGTCAAAAACAAAAAAACAAAAACTACTCGTCCCAGGTAGCGTCGAACAACTGATCCGACTCTGTCTGGGCCGGTGCTAGCAATCCAACCTTGGAGGTCAACGCCTTCGCCACCATCTTCTTGGCCTCCTGGGCGGTGGCGAGCGCCAGCACTGTCTCCTCCTCCTTCTGCTTGGCTCTGGACAAGTTGTCGCGGGCACGGAGCAGCGAGGCGAAGGCCTGGTCGTGCTTCATCTGCGCGTCCTTGACGGCACGATCTGCTTTCTCCACTGCTTCCTCAGGGGTGCTGCTCGTGCCGAAAACGTCGATCTAACCCTTGAGGATACGTATATGATTCCTGAGGGCCTGCTGGAGCGTGGCGTCGGTGGCGACGGCGAGCGCCCCCTCTAGCGTGGCGAGCTTGGAGCTCGCGCTTGCCTGAGGTGCTCTGCCTTGCCCCGCCAGGGCCAACCGCTGCTGCCCTGGATGCCACGCTGTGTTGCCCTGGTCGTCACTTTTCTTCTCCCCCTGGTAAAGCTTGACCAACCGTCCGCACTTCTGGCATTTGCGGTCACGCTCCAAGAGAAACAGATTCCACTCACTGCGGCCGCAGCCTTTGCAAGCAGACCATGCAGTAGACGCCATCCTTGAGAGAAAACTGGGAAAAAGATTCGGCCCTCTTTGCCACCGAAAAATACAACTCAAAGGCTGAGCTGTGGCCTCGGTGCCCCTCAAGCGCCCCGTGGAGGCGAGGGCCTGGACTGGAGCAACCTGTGTCCCACGCGGGGGTGAGAGGACTTGGTGCTCGAGCCCAAATGCTTGAGAGGAGGAGAAGGAGGAGAAGGAGAAGATGGAACAGGCTTAGCAGCGGAAGGGGGAGCAAGAGGGAGGCAAATGAGGAGAAGAAGGAGGAAGAATAAGGCGCGGGAAAAGACACGAGGAGGAGTAATATGGAGAGGAAGGGAGGGGAGGGAGGAGGAGGAGGAGGAGGAGGAAGCAGAGAAGGACGATGAAGGTGGAGAAAGCAGAGGGAGGAAGAGAGGGATCAGTGAAGATGATCACGAGGAGGAAGAGGAGGAAGAATATGGGGGAGGGCCAGGGATGAACATGGTACAGACAGTATAGTATACGACTTGGAGCAGCAGCAGTAGGAGGAGGAGGAGGAGAAGGAGGGTGGGGGAAGAGGAGGGGACGGAGGGAGGGGGGAGGATGAGGGGGGGGAACAAGCTCCCCTTGGCAGAGCTGGACGAAATGCGACTGGCAGCTCGGGATGCCCTCCACCCAGACCTGCACCGCCTTCTTCGATATCACCTTGCAGGAACGGAGATGCTTGCGCGCGGGGAGCAGCAAGGACGCCTGACTTCGCGCGTCGCGCTGCGCGGAGCGCGAAGCGCGAATAACTTCGCGCTCTCGCGCCGCCCCCCAGGGGAGGATGAGGAGGCATCGGAGCCGAACCGCGAAGCGCGAATAACTTCGCGCCCTCGAGGGCGTCCTTGGAGCATGGGGACACACGTGTGAACACATAAGTCGCTCTTCTCGGGCCTCCTGGGAGGCGCTCCTGGTCTCGGCCGGGTCCGCCTCAAAAAAGTCTGCCAGGACGTGTCCAGGGGGGCGATGCTTGGAGGACCCAAGAGGACAAATCAGGGGGCAGAAGGGAGAGGGGCGGAGAGACGAGGTACAGTCAACCCATATAAGAAGGATGCGCGGCAATCGTGCAAGGGCCTTGGACGGCCATGTAGACACTTTGCGAGCGGGGCGCGGCCAGCGAAAGCCGCCAAGGATGGGCCGAAGGGGAAAGATGCGAGGACAACCTTGGAATGTTGCTCATCCTTACTATGCGGGTTGACAGTAAGTGAGCTTGGGCCGCATCTGACATCCTGCCCCTCCCAGCCATCCCTTCCCGTTGCACTGGACTTTCTCTGTCAGCCAGCTGGGGACTTTGATCCCAAAATGGCAGTTGCAGGATTCGACCCATTGGTTGCTGTGCGGTCGGGAAAGGGGGCACCTGCACGTTGGAGGCAGATGGGAAGACGGATGGAGGTGGATGGAGTGGACGTGGAGCAGGAGTAGTAGGAAGCGCAGGAGGTTCAGGAGAAGGCAAAGGAAACAACAGAAGGAGACGGCAACGACAAAGAACCCGGATGCGGAAATGCGGCCTGCGCAGAGACGAGAGCGCCATTCTGAACGACGGGGGCAGCGCACGACCCTAAGATGTACCCAACGCTGCAGCGGGAGCACCGTCTTCAAGGACCGAGGGCTGCGAAAAATGCGAGAGGGAGGGAGAGAGAGAGAGAGATGGAGGGAACGTGGTACCAGGGAGGAGAGAAGAATACTACTCATGTTGTGCGACTGTCGAGGGGCGAAGGGAGGGCGGGAGAGAGAGAAGCTCGCGCCAGGGCAGCGGGAGGAGAGCGGGGAGGGAGGCGGGGGGATGAGGCGGTAAGGGACGGCTAGAGACTGGCGTGTTTTCGGCCCTCCGAGTCTCGGCACCGCTCTCTTTCCAGCACTGGTCCGCCCCGCCCTCCCGTCCTCGAACTATTCCGTTTTCTCGTTCTCTCTCTCTCTCTCGCTTTCTCGCTCTCTTTCTCTACCGGTTTCCTCTCTCTCTCTCTCTCTCTCGTCTTTCCTCTTCATTCCTTTTGGAAATAAACAGGTCGGGAATTCATAAGAAAGACCTCAAGACAGGGGTATCTGTCCGGAGCAATATTGATACTTGCTTCATAGGGTTGTTCGTGTTCTTCCAACTATTCGGGCGATCCAGCCTCTAGCTGCGAGAGGACCAAGAAAACGTAGGAGTGGAACAATGGCACTGAATACAATTCCCCGCAAAAACCTCGAGGATCTCGGAGCAGTGGCGCCCGCTTGAGCCCATCCGAAAGCTCATCCGGGCGGTTTTCGGGCATGTGGGACAGCCTGCGTGCATTGAGAACATGTTCCTCCTCCCCTCCTCACCCTGCTTCCCAACGCACTGCGTTTGAGAACGCATCCGAATAAGAGCCTCACTCATTCTGACCAAATTCCGCTCCCTCTGCAGAATACACTTCCTGCTCCTACCCATATTCTTCCCGAGCACATACACGTGTCATTCAGCTTGTCGGCTCAAGAACTTGTCCCCGCGATGGTGAACCCTGAGAAGGACACAAGGAGTACATGGCAAAACTAAACGCGAATAACGAGCGCAAAGCCAAATAGCGCCGTGTGCATGTTCTCGAGACCCCACCACACGTATGTTAACGTCTTCCAACAGGGGTGATGTTAAGGTGCTGTGTATACTAAGGCTCATGTATAGCTGCAGCCCGAGTGGAAATCCATCATAGCTGTAGCAAATTCAGGTAGGACCCGTCCAGCACCGTAAACAGTTCAAGCTACCATTCTAGAGTAGTCATGGCCTGCCCTGATCGAGTGCCATGAGCGTTAGGGCCATCATCGTCTTTCTGGATTGGGTGTTGCAGACGCGGTATGACGTACAAGTGATGCTTTAGATGCGTAGCTCTAGCCATAGTGTATGCTTAAAGGCGTGCAGGTATAATTGGACATTATTAAAGTTGCAACTCTAGTAGGAAAGTGTTGCAAAATGGTGCCATCTGCTGTTGCTCCAGCACGGACCCGTTAAAGGTGCAGCTCTAGTGAGCTCCTATCACGAGTGTATGCGTGATCGAGTTATGACAGAGGCGTTGGCCAATTCAAGAATCATAGATGTATAGCCATAGCAAGCTCGAACATTAGTCTGATCGAATTTCAGCTGTAGTACATGCATTAGAGTTGAAGCTTCGCTCGGACTTGATCAGAGTTGCGGCCGGTGTTCAGTTCTAGTATAGTCGTAGCTCCGATGAGCCTCTATCAGAGCTGTAGCTCGGATGGGATGTTATCAGGCCTGTTGATGCGATAAATATGACTGCGTACGTAGACGCCGTCGGGTAGCATCATAATTGCACAGTAACTGAGATATCATGAGGGCGATGTATTCAGTAGGAGCCGATGGTGATGTTAGAACTGTGTATGCAAAAACGTTACACCGAATGTGTGGCCGCCTCTAGCAGTGCTATGGTCGAGCTGTAGCCTGGCAAGATGATGTAGCACTGTTAACATGGTAGTGCCGTAGCTCTAGCCAGATGATAATCGGAGAATCGAGGAGGGCAAGGACAAGGAATAGGATGAGGAGGCAGGATAGCTTCGGAGCAGGATGGAAGGAAGGAAGGAAGAGGCAGCAAGGATGGAAAAAGGCTGAACGCGCGCCACCCCCACATCGCAGTATCCATTATGGCACACAGAGAGGAGGCAGGAACAGGGAGGCAGTCTAAAGACGGCCATGGATCCAATTATGACCGAATAAGATCGAATCGATCGAATCGGATTCCATCCGTGGATACAGAGAAATCCTCCTGGTGGGTGCGTTATGGGATCGATCGGTGCCATACGCAGACACCGGCGCGTACTATCGCATCGGTGGAAATCTGGACGCCCCTTTGGTGGGAGAATGGAGGTGGAGGGAGGGAGGCAAGGATGAGGGAAAGGGTAAATGGTGCAAGGGAAGAGACAACAACTCTTCTGTGTTTGCGTAAGTGCCCCTCCCCCGCACCTCAATGGGCCCGTGCATCCCTCTGTGGCAGTTGTTCAGGTACACGCCGTTCGGCGCAGACTTGACGTCCTCGTTGTACTTCGCCAGTATGGTGCGCAGCCTGGATGGGAAAAAAACAGAGTCTGGGTCTGCCTTGACGGTCCAATCGTGGAACTTGTAGCGCCCGTCGGCGACGACCGCCGTCCACACTGTGATGAAGATTTCGGTGTTCAGCGCCGTGCCGAATTCGCCGCCCTTCTCGCAGTGCAGGTCACTGGCCACGGTTTTCGAGACGAGGCCGGGCACCACTGTCAGGGTCTGATTGCTGAACACGGCGTACTCGTCGCATCTGAAAAAGCTCTGGGCGTTCTCGAACTCCCACGCCAGCAGCATTGGTTCCATGCTGCCAGGGATCATCAAGGCCCAGCAATAGAGCGTGTTCTGTCCGGGCTCTGGGACTGTCAGGGGGATAGCTGTCCTCACCTGGCGAAGCAAAAAGTACATTGACACTGACTTTCAGAGGTCCGCGCAGAGTTTTGGGCCAGGCCCCCTCCCCGCACGCGCGTTGGGCGTGAATTAATGGGGGGCGACAAATGGGGGGGAAGGAAGGTGCACTTTTCGGGCCCTAAAGGTCCCCTGTTGGGCCAGGAAGGGCCCATTCAGGGACCCTGAAGGGCCCCTTTCTGCATCACTCGCTGCCCCCCCATCCATCGCTCCCCCATCACGCGACCCCCAAGCAGGGTGCGCCGGGGGCGGCGCCTGGGGCGCCGCCCGCGGATGCGGGAAAAGGGGTGGGGCCCGACGCCGACCCTCTAAAAAATCGTGTTCGTGCCGGTTCTTGATATTTGATCACGTGCGTCGGCTGCCCCGACGTGTATTCGGGATCCGTGATCTTTGTCAGCGCCTCGAGGGGCTTGTTGCCCTTCAGGGCACACTCCTGCGTGTCCTTCTTGTAGGTCCACGCGTAGCAGCTAGAGTTCGTGGCGCACTTGGCGCAGCAATCCTCCGCGGTGAGGACGCCGTACAGCGGAACGTCGAGGTCATTCCCCGGGTAGTACGTGTTCTCCTCCACCCAGCCGCATGGTGCCGCCGTCGCCGCCGTCTTCGTCGCCGCCGCCGTCGTTGCCGTCGCCGTCGCCGTCGCCGCGATCTCTCCTCCACCCAGCCGCATGGTACCGGCGCTGGCGTGGCCCACTGCTGCTCCTCAGCGGCACCACCTTGCGCAGAGCCGGAAAAAAACGTCCCCGTTTCGCCCTCGGCGCTGTCACCCGAGGGATCTCGGAGGGGGGGGAGGGGGAGGGGAGGGGGAGGGAAGGGGAGGGGAGGGGGGGGGGAGAGGGGGGAGGGACAGGGAAGGGGGAGGGGGAGGGGAGGGGATGGGAAAGGAGGGGGAGGGGAGGGGGCGGGGAGGGGGAGGGGGAGGGGAGGGGGAGAGGGAGGGGGGAGGGAGATGTGGGAGCGCACGGAGTGGAAGGGAGCAACAGGAGACAAAGGCGAGGTCTTCACCCGCGCGGGCCTTCGCCCGCACCCCAACCTGGAGACGGCGCCTGCACCGCGCCTGGGGACGGCGCCTGCACAGCACCTGGGGACGGCGCCAGGTCGGCGGTGGCCTCGGGAGGGCGACAACCATACGCCTGTGCCGAGCAAAACCGGGTCGCCTATCGTCCTTTTCTTCCTCCTCCTCCTTTTCCTGTTCCTGTTCATGCTAAGTTCCTATTAATTTCCTTTTCCTCCTCCTCGCGTTCTTATTATTAGTAGTATTAACAGCATTACTTATATTATTAGTATTGTCATTAGTTTGTCCTTAGTACATTACTACCATTACTTCTTATGTATAACATGATTCGTCGCAGTAGTATGCGTACTCTTATTGTTAGTATCATTAGTATTCGTCTTTGTGTAATTCGTCGTATGATCATTATTCTTGGCATTATAATATTTAGTCGTACTACTACCGGTAGTCTGAATAATCGTATGACTCGTCGCCTTTGCATTAGACTCCGTAATATTAAGGATCTAAATGTTCGTATTGTGGGTATTATGCTTAGCCTGTATGATTCATGATTGTTTTATATTCGTAGTAACACTCGTATGTTTTATTAGTATGTGTCTTAATATGTTTCATCGTAGTACTACTCGTAGTACGAATGCCAGTGTTCATAGTATTATGTTTGTCCTGCTGCTTCTTCTTACCAGATGACCCTTATTATTAGTAGTTCTCCTCCTCCCCCTCCTCTTCCTCCTCCTCCTCATCCTCACCCTTCTCCTCTTCCTCCTCCTCCATTCCTTTTCCTTATAACCAACTCCTCCCTGTCGCACCCCGCGGCAAGTCGGAAGCACGGGCCGGGCGATTCGCCTGAGACCCCCTTCTCATCTACGATCCTGAATATTAAAGAGTGGCAGCCAGTTCACACATGGAAGGCGGGCGGTTGTCAAAAAATGGCTCCCACCTCAGCGTAGCGCACAGTCGTTCTAAAATGTGCATGAGCTTAACGGATTGAGGGCGGGCCGTCTTCAAGATGTGGCTCTCTTTTTTTCAGCGCCGCGCTCACACTTTAAAAACAGACAAATAGTTCACGGATTGAAGGCGGATCGTTTTCAAAATGTAGCTCTCGCTTCAGCGCCGCGCACACACGTCTCAAACACTTGCAAGGGATTCACGGATTGAGGGCGGGTCGTTTTCAAAATGTGGCTCTCGCCTTAGCGCCGCGCACATCCTGTTTACCAGTTTGCAAGAGCGTCACGGATTGAGGGCGGTTCCGATTCTGAATGCGACTCTCGCCTTAGCGCCGCGCAAAGTCGTTTAAATACATTGTAAGTGATTCAATGATTTGTTGTGAACATACCAGGAGCGATGTTTTGGAAGGGTTCAAGGTCATCAGTCACGTTGGTTCGCAGTGGTGAAGCTCCACGAATGGTTTGCTGGCACGACTCAGGATCGCCAGCACGCAACAGTCAGGTTCATTCGTGGCGTTGGAATCCCGAAATTGTGTTATGATTCGTTTTAGGATCTTCAATCGGTTGTCTCCCAACGGGGCGCTTCCCTCAAAGGAAATGAATCCTTGTAAGGACGTATGAAAATGGAGCCTGGAGGAAGGGTGTGTTCCAACATCGTTGATGAGTTTTGGGTTTACACCAGTCCTCCTCCTCCTCCTCCTATTCCGTCTTTATTCCTTTCCATTATTAATAACTCCCCCCTGTCGGACACCGGGGCCAATCGCAAGGGCGGGCCCGGCGTTTCGCCTGAGACCTCCCTCCCACCTACGGTCCTGTATTCGAAAAAGTGGCAACCAGTTCATACATGGAGGGCGGGCGGTTGTCAAAAAAGTGGATTGAAGGCGGGTCGTCTTCAAGACGTGGCTCCCCTCTTAGCGCCGCGCACACTCGTCTTAAAAACAGGCAAGGGTTTCACGGATTGAAGGCGGGTCATTTTCAAACTGTGGCTCTCGCCTCGGCGCCGCATACACTCACAAACAGTTGCCAGAGATTCACGGATTGAAGCGGGTCGTTTTCAAAATGTGGTTCTCGCCTCAGCGTCGCGCACACCCTATGCAAAAAATATGTTGTTCCCGCCTTAGCGCCGCGCACAATCGTTTTGAACAACCTGTAAATGATTCACGGATTCCTTTGCCGGAAACGGTGTTTTGGAAGGATTCAAGGTCATCAGGGTGCAACAGTCACGATGGCTCGCGGTGGTGAAGTCCCAGGAACGGCTTGCTGGCACGATTCAGGATCGACAAAACGCAACAGTCAGCTTGATTCGTGGCGTTAGAGTCCCGAGATGTTGTGCTGGTACGATGTAGGATCTTCATACGGCTGTCTCCCAAAGGGGCACTTCCCTCAAAAAGTGAATCCTCGTGAAGGCCTATGAAATGGAAGCCTGGAGGGAGGGTTTATTCCAACCTCGTTGCAGAGACTTGGGTTCACACTAGTCATCCTCCTCCTCCGCCGCCTCCGCCTCCGCCTCCTCGTCCTCCTCTTCCTCCCCTTCCTCCTCCACCTGCGCCTCCTGATCATCCTCCCTCCTCCTCCTCCTCCTCCTCCTCCTCCTCCTCCTTCTCCTCCTCCTCCTCCTCCTGTTTGTTCCTCGTCCTCCTCCAGCCTCCTCCTCGTCCTCCTCCTCCTCCTCCTTCTCCTCCTCCTCCTCCTCCTCCTCCTCCTCTTTCTTCTCTTCGTCCCTCCTCCTGCTCCTCCTCCTCCTCTTCCTCCTCCTCCTCCTGCCTCTCCTCCTCCTCCTGCTTCTCCTCCTCCACCTCCTCCCCCTCCCCCTTTCCTTTGCATCATGAATAACTCCTCCATGTCGCACACCGGGGCTTGTCGGAAGGGCGGGCAGGCTGGGCGTTTCGCCGTTTCGCCTGAGACCTCCTTACCACTTGTGAGCCTGAAGCTTAAAGACTGGCAACAGTTTCACACATGGAGGGCGGGCGGTTTTCAAAATGTGGCTCTAGCTTTAACGCCGCGCACATTGGTTGCAAAAATCAACAAAAGTCCCACGCATTGAGAGCGGATCGTTTCTATTGGCTCTCGCCTCGGCGCCGCGCACATCCTGTTAAAAAGTCTGCAAAGGCTTCACGGACTGAAGGTTGCTCCTTTTCAAACTGTGGCTCTCGCTTGAGCGCCGCGCACATTCGTTTCAAAGCATGTCAAAGTTTCCCTGGTTCTTTGTGCTAACGCATCAGAAACGGCGTTTTGAAACGATTCGAGACTGCCAGGGCGCCACACTTAATTTGATTCGCTGTGGTGAAGTCCCAGGAATGGCTTTCTGGCAGGATTCAGGATCGACAAAACGCAGCAGTCAGCCTAACTCGTGGCGTTGAAGCGGTGAGAAAGTTTGTTTTGGCACGTTTTACGATCTGCACACGGTCGTCGCCCAACGGAGCAATCCCGTCAGTGGAAATGAATCATTGTAGGGGGCTATGGAGAGGGAGCTTGGAGGGAGGGTGTATTCCAACCTCGTTGCAGAGTCTTGGGTTCACACCAGTCCTCCTCCTCCTCCTCCTCCCCCTCTTCCTCCTCCGCCGCTTCCGCCTCCGCCTCCGCCTCCACCTCCTCGTCCTCCTCTTCTTCCTCCTCCTCCTCCTCCTCCTCCTCCTCCTCATCCTCCGCCTGCGCTTCCTGCTCCTCCTCCTCTCTCCTCCTCCTCCTCCTCCCTCCTCCTCCTCCTCCTCCTCCTCCTCATCTCTCTCATCTCATCCTCATCCTCATCCTCCTCATATTCCTGCTTGTTCCTCGTCCTCCTCCAGCCTCCTCCTCCTCCTCCTCCTCCTCCTCCTCCTCCTCCTCCTCCTCCTCCTCCTCCTCCTTCTCTTCGTCCCTCCTGCTCCTTCCTCCTCCTCCTCCTCGACCGCTCCAGCCAGAGAAGGGTGGGGGTCCAGGCGCGAGAGGGGCATCGGGGTAGGCCCACGGGACCACGGGACAGTCAGGGCCCCCTGGGGCTCCTCGGGCAGGAGCCCTTCAACCCATTATCCTCCTCCCCCTCCCACATCGCGGATTGTCTTGATGGCCCCAGAGCCCAGAATCAGCCGCCCGAAAGCCGCAGCATGCCAACGAACAGACAGGTTCAGACATCGTTCGAGCCGCCATATGTCTGGATCAGTATCTTCCTCCTCTTCTTCCTCCTATTCCTGCTCCTCCTCCTCCTCCTCCTCCCCCCTTCTCCTCCTCCTCATCGTATTATTATGAGTTTAATGTGTAGTAGGATGGTTAGTAAAAACGTGTTAGTATTCATAGTATCGCTGGTAGTAGTATTAGTAGTTATGTTAGGTGTCGTTGTCGCCTTAGTCTTGGTATAATTAGCAGTACTAGTGTTGCTAGTAAGATTAACCGTACTGTTCGTAGTATTGCGATTATGATTCTTAATCGTAGTATAAAATGTGAGTCCGAGTCCCAGTAACATTACCACTCTTGGTATTCGGACGATTCGTCACATGCGTATGCTTATTATATCACTAGTAGAATTAGTATGCGTAGTCTCATGGGTGTTATTAGTAGTAATAGTAAAGCTAGTGCTCTTAATCGCATTACTGGTATCATTACTATCCGTATTACTAGTCGTAGTACTATATAATATTATCTGTGTGTGCCGTATTGCTGCTAATGTTAGTGTGTATGTGTGGTCTGATTAGTCGCGTTATTAGTAGTAGGCCTTGTTGAACTTACAAATAATAATTG